GTTTACACCCGTCCCTCTCCGGGCAGCCCCCTGCCCTGCCCTCCATGGAATTGGATTCCAAGGGCTGTTCCAGACAACTGCCAATGTCACTGAGGGCCCTGCCCTGAAGCCCTGGGCCCAGGCTCCATTAACCTAAATGTAGCTCCTTAGCGCTAATCTAGGAACCGCCGCTGCCTGCTGAGGGGCCAGGCCCCTCATGCCCTCGCCCCAGGCCCGGGTCCTTCAGCGTTGAACACTTCCTTGCTTTTTTCACATGTTTTATGGAATTGTTCACATGATTTGAAATAATAAAATGTAGAAACAAAACACCAAGAACTGCCGGTTGTTCTTTTCTCCCAGGTATCAAACGGAACAAGAAGGTGGATCACACCTTAGTGACTCACCTGGGGTAGGACCCTGGACATTCAGCTTTCTAGGCAGAGGTCAGTCTTAATGCTCTAAGCTTCCTTCAGTTTGCCCTCTGGACTGGTCGGCTTACATGTGAGAGTCTATGCAGCCTCCTCTTCCCAGCTGCAGTTTGGGGTCTGGGGAAGCCTTCAGTCTCGAAGAACCTCTGAGCAGACTTGGGAGCTCTTCTAGAGGGTTCGTGCAAACTGGGAGTAGCCAGGGTGTCTAGCCAGCCGTTAATGCAAGAGATGATGACTAGCACAGAAGCTTAAACCCAATTTAAAGGCGTGGTGGCGCACGCCTTTAATCCCAGCACTCGGCAGGCAGAGGCAGGTTGAGCGTGGTGGCGCACGCCTTTAATCCCAGCACTCGGCAGGCAGAGGCAGGGTGACCCTCTGCAAGTTCGAGACCAGCCTGGTCTACAAGAGCTAGTTCCAGGACAGTCTCCAAAGCCACAGAGAAACCCTGTCTCAAAACAACAACAACAACAAAAAAGACAATTTAAAGGTGCCAAAGTGACACAGATAAGTGGGCTGCACCCCTTGACTTGACAGACAAACTCAGGAGAAGCTAGGAGTGGTGGTACCACTTGTCATTCTAGCACACAGGAGGCTGAGGCAGGAGATTGACCATGAGTACGGGCCAGCTTGGGCTATATATTGAGACTCAAAACAAAACAAAACAAAAAAAACAAATCCACCTCCAAGGCTTGGGGAACATTGTAAAAGTGGGACAGAGAATTGATAGAAGGTAAAATGTAGAACACTTTCCCAGGATGCATGGGGCCTCTGAACACCCTGTCGTGGAAAGAGGTAGCTCACCAGGCCCCACCTCTCCCCTTACAGACACTAACTGGTTGGTGGAGGAGGGGAGAGACATTTTCTTTAGTGTTGTAGCCACTGGTAAGGAATCCATCCATACTCCTGGAAGCAAGACTACTCTTGTATCTCTTTATTAAAACAAAACAAAACAAAACAAAACAAAAAAAACAATTGAATCCTGGCGGTGGTGGCGCACACCCTAATCCCAGTACTCGGGAGGCAGAGGCAGGCGCATCTCTGAGTTCGAGGGCAGCCTGGTCTACAAAGCTACACAGAGAAACCCTGACTTGCGGGGAGGGGGCGGTTGGGGAATTGAATAGTTGGGGAAGAGATCCGTGGAAGTGCAAGACGAGGGAGAGTGTAAGAGGGGTTAATAGGATGGAATGCATGTTATACATGTTGAAACGTCATCATGAGCCATTATTATGTATAGTTAACATATGCTAAAACACTTTGTAGAAGAAGTAAGGGTTAGAATACCACCTCGCCAAATCAGAGGGGTAAGGACAGGCTGTTCATGGAGGTCTGCCATTGGAAGGTTGAACGTGAAAAACAACGTGCTGGGTGCCTGTAGAATGGGCGTGGGCAGAGTACCGTGCTAAATGCCTGGGTTTTCTTCCAGGAACAGCAGGGGCAGCGGCAGGCTGAGCCTGCTCCTGGGAGTAGTAGGCGAAAGATCGGCCCCAACTGGGCGGAGCTCCAGGTCTCTGCCGCCGGCCGCCAGGGGGCGCCACAGCCCCTTCTCTCTGGGGCTGAGCTGGTCACGGAGGCTGACGTCACCGGGTCCCGTGGAGGACGCTGGACACAAAAGCAGCTTTGTATGGCATTGGAGGCTCCGCGCCCGCGGCCTGACAAAGCCGCTGGGTCCTGGGGCGAGCGAGGGTCGGCGCCGCGGAGGCGGGGGGAGGGAAGGATTGGACCCGGGACCTGGGACTTCGCCTCCTTACACCTGTCAGTGGCCAGAGGCCACCGGGTTTCTAAGGCTGGCAGGAGATGAAAGGTTGTGGTGGCGGATCGGAAGGAGCGCCTGTTTCTTAGGCCTCTCCTCCGCCCCAGTTCCTCAGGCCATTCCGGCTATCTCTGCCACGGGGTACGACTGACAAGAACAGGATCCTGCGCCATCCCCAAATCCCTGTCTTTCTTCAGAGGCTCAGGCCTGAACCCCAATGTGTGCAGGCGGGCTGGAGCTATTCCAGGGCCACCATACCCACCCAGCAGGAAGCGAGCACCGGAGATGGTTCCTTCCTTCTGTCCTGAGGGGAACCCTGCACAGAGGGCCATTGAGGGACTGGCATTGTCTGTCTGATGCACCCGGTGCCTCCCTGCCTGGGTGGGCCATCCAGGGCCCTGGCCTGGATCCCCTGGGATCTCACTTGGCACTGGGTCTGGGTGTGGTTCTGGCAAGTAGAGCCTTACCCCGGTACAGACAGTTAGGCCCCCACCTGCCCTTGGCCCTTCTACTCCAGCTCTGATCTGGAGGGCATAAGGCTCCATTGTCCCAGGACTGGTGGGGGCGGCCTCTCAATTCAGCCTTTCTTTAGCTGGTGGGAAATTCCCAGCCATGCGTGGGGGGTAGGAGGGTGGCATGAAGGACAGCCCAGGTATTTTGAACCCTAACTGGAGGTACCCAGTGAGGTAGACATCCACCACTGCTTGGAGCTGGTCTTGGCTTGGCCTCCGCAGTTCCTCCTTTCTTGGGAAACAGCTGAGTGAGGAAAGAGAAATTGAGTTCTTTCTCTAGAACTCTCCCAATGTCCACACCCATGGGCAGCTGCAGTATGAGGTCCAAGACGCTTAGCAGGATGTGGAGAGCCGAGTAGGGACCCAGACTCCTGGGTTCAGTGTAGTCTCCAGCCTATGAGGACTGCCACGAGTCTGACCTGCCTCCAAGAGAGCCTGGCTCACTTGAAATAGTTGCTGGACTACTGATGTGGTTGGTGGTGGCCTCGGTATTTTTAACCTATTTGTAGGGCAGCAGAACAGCTGGGAAGAGAGGAAGGAAGGAACAACCCCCAAGAGTCAGAGGCCTAAAAAGGGGAGCTTATGGGAAACTTGTGGGGAGGAGGCAGGCCCAGCAGGCAGGTGGAGACAGATGTCCTGTGCAGAATGGGAAAGAGGCCCTTCCTGGGGTTATAGCCAGGGCTTCTGTGACTGCATAGCCCTAATGGAGTGTCTCACCATGTTTCAAAGCAGACCTAAGATACGCCCTGCTCCTGGAGCTGAGGACTGAACCCAGAGCTTTGTGCTTGCTAGGCAAGAGCTCTACCACTGAGCTAAAGCATCAACCCCAACCTAAGAC